GGTCCTTTTTCCACACAGTCCTGTATGTCTCAGTGTTCTGTGTCACCACTTGTGCTTCTCAGGCTCTGAGTGTCGCAGAATCAGCTGTGTGGTACCCGAAGACTCTTTGCACATCTTCCTGAAGATAGGATTTGCTTTTTCTTCATTTCGTAGAAAAGACAATATAAGAGTTATTCTTGTCAGTTGCTCACTGAGTTTGGGATGCCACTTCAGAAGATAACTTACCTCTCGTGGTCATGTTACGTTTTAGTATAGCAACTTCCAATGTTCCTTAATTGGGAATCACCTCTTACATAAAATTGATTTTTACCTTGATGCCAGTAGCAGGGTTTAAATAAAACTTCTTGGGGTTTTGAAGCTTTCATATTTTGTGCTTTCTCTGTGGAGATTCTGTGTATTCTTGTGGCGCACACTCCCCTGACCAAAGTCAGAGCAGTCTGTAGTATGGAGCAGCATTCTTTCCTTGTAACTGGGTTGGCCACATTGCACTTGGAGCTGGACCGAAGCCTGTGTGACTCCTTGGAGCTTGTTGGGTGGCTCTGCAGACTACACCAGTGGCTACTGTGGAGATCTAAGTCCTGGTCTGTGAAGCTGCAGTGCTCCTCAGTGTAGACCACATTCTATTCCTGGAGCTGCCCCTCCCTAAATTATTTCAGTATCTTACTGGTTAAACTGCAACCGACCTTGGCCTGTTCTGCTCCTTTTACAAGAATGACTTATCCTTTCTCCAAGCCTTCCCCGTGTTAGCTGCCACATGTATCCCCTACCCTATTTTTACCCATTCCTGTGTAATCAATCAATACCTAAGGTCCTGGTTGCTTGGGGTTCTTGCCACATGCTAGGCACAGTTCATTTCCATTTACCGGCTTTCTGTGTAAGTCTTGTTTCCACTGTTGTTCCTTCACCTTCAGTCATGTTGCCTTGCAGGAGATTAACTCTCAGCCATGGTCTTTGACATTTTTGTCTGAATCAGATTCCATAAATGTTTTTACCCATTACCTCTTGCTGATTTACTGGCTCATAGCTCTCCTGGTAGGTAGTGGGCTCGAGTTCTGCTGAGCACCTCCGCTGGTCTGGCTGGGTTCATTCCTGTTTCAGCAGAAGCTGCTTGGTGACCTCTCTTGAACGGTTGCAGTGGGTGTCAAATGCAGGGCCTGTGTCTCCCCTGCCCTGGGCTGACTTGACCTTGCTCATACGTGGTCTCAGGTTTCAAGAGCAGTGGCAGGCCAGCTCTGATGTGCATAAGTGTCTGATTGTATCAATTTTTGCCAAAACAAATCACACAGTTAATCCTGACTCAAAGCATCTCAAGTGGGAAGAGAAATCTGTGGTCAATGGTCTCTTTATTGCACAGTTGCCTCTTAGTTCCACTTTTGTCTTAGTTTTTGGGGCATTTTCTCTACTCCTAATATGGTATATCACATATACTCTCAGTGTGTGGTTTGTAAGTGTGTACACCCTCCTTTAACCACCACAGCCAGGATACACAGAGTTTTCCTCCTCTTAGGAAGTTCCCTGTGTCACTTTGTAGCCAGACTCCCTCCCCACACACACAGCAAGTAAGTGCTGATTTGATTTCTACCCAAAATTAGTTTTGCTTGCACTGGAACTTTCTATAAATGAGATCATAGGTTATGTTTCTACTCCTTTGTATCTGGCTTCTTTGTTTCTTAAGATTTACCCATCTACCATTTCATTTCATTTATCTTATTACTTTGTCTATCCATATTTTATTCTACAAATTGTATAAAAGTAAATTTTAGCCCTTTATACAGTGTAGCCCAGTTTCTACAATAGATAAATCACTAATCTCTGGATTTGATAAGCAAGTTTTTATTATTTGGTTGTTTTTGCTTTATGGTGAGTTTTCTTACAGACCATGAAAGGAGAATTTACTCAGATATAACTATAGGAAAATGAAAATAAAAAATTTGTGAATAATGTGGAAAAACATACCTTCCAAAGATCGACATTTTTATAATTGGATAAATAAATCTCTAGGGTCTTATTGAGAACTGCAGGACTCATATCTAGACATTTAAACCAGAATAAAGTATATAATAAATGCTTCTTATTGTAGTGTTTGTCTAGATACTTATAAGTGAAAGAAAATACATTTTAAGAATTGCTTTTCTTTCTTTACACTTAATGAAATCATATGGCTGCTACTCATGCTTCAGTTAGGTAATTGGTTTAGCATGTTCAGTAGAGGCAGGCACATTTGATTAATGTTCATGAAAACTTTAATGTGAACCTCCTAATGATAATCTTCCAGATAAATGCTTTGGTGTACTGCTGAATTCATCTCTGCTGGTGATCCAGATGTTAATTCTCATTTCAGGGTGATTCTATTACTGTCCTTTTGGGAATAGAGAGTTAAATCGGGATTTTAGGAAAAATACAGTTTGGGCTTAATCAGTTAAATTGCCATATAATTCTGGGAGTAATAAAATAATTGCATGTTGGGAAAAATTTGAAGTGATAGATTTGTATTTCCAACTTTCTATTTGTTTTAATGCAAATAAGTCAGCTTAGTTTATCTGATTTGCAGCAGTTGTCAGTGGCGTTGACACCATCTTTAGGCTATGTTTGTTTTTAATTAGCTAATTCTTGAAAATAACACTTTGTTATTTTGTTTAAGTACAACAGAGAAAATGCTAAATGCTAAAATTTGGGTTAGGATTTAGCTTTACAAAAGGTTGAGATTTTGTCTTTGCCATTGAAGACATTTGCAGTGCGTGTTGCTGTGTGGACTCCTGTGTCGTACCTTCCCCTAGCAGGCTTCTCAGGGCTTTCTGTCAGAATTAGCCCTTAAAGCATCTCATCGACCCTTCCATTAACCTGGAAGGCAGTCGTAAAAGAGAGGCTTTCTGTTCTTGATAATACCTTGGTAAGTGAATTTATCAACTGGGTAATGGAATAAGCATTCTGCATACCCTAAACTTTATTAACCAAGGGAAATTACTTCTTTTAAAAACAGTGTTTTGAATGTGGTGCTGTTGCCATGTTCTGTAATTGTGACTTTCATGTTAACATTTATTTCATTCTTTTAGTGGTGGTGTCTGATAAAAGTCAAAGCGATCTTGGTTTTTACCGGCTTTTCTCTTTCCCTGGCATTTGCCTTGGAAGCCCCCTGTATTTGCTCTGTCAAACAAAGCTTGGGCCACAGAAGTTGACATTGAGGAAGTAGGTGAATTAAAATGTTAAGCTGTAGTCACAAGGGCCAGAGGCTTGTTACCGGTGCCTGGAGCCAGGCGTCTGTGCTGTTACCTGTGCTGGATCACTTCATCTTTCTGAATAGATCCTGAGAAGTTGCCAGATTAGTTTCATTACAGAAGAGAAGAGGCACACCATAAATCAAATACTAAGTACCTGAGACTGCATCACTGTGGGAAAGAATGATCAGTCACTTAAGAGTATGGTAATTGGGCTGTACTGCATTTGCTAATACCACATTTTAATTAGTAATTTAATTAAGGGAAAACAGGCAACACACATGTAATAGACTTTCCTCCACCTACACAGGGAATGCTTTTTTGTGTTGTGTTAAATCAGACTGATGAATGGGGGTTGTGCAACCCATTTAGAACTCAGCAGGCATCCTTGATGGCAACACACTCAGCATATATAGCAAATTAAATTTCATATGCTATAAACCTGCTTTGATAAACAGATGGTACTTAATTCATAATTTTTTTGTTTTATGAAGTAAATTGTAACTTAAGCAACCAGAAATGGGTATTTTAAAGCATTTTACATCATTTTAATATTTAGTATGGAGTGTCACCTGACGGTCTTTTGCTGCACAACACCATACCATTTAGTCAACTAATAAATCTGTGAAGTTAAAAATATGACCTACTTTAAATAAGTTTTGAGAACACTTGAACCTTAAAACGTTTGATAAAAAGTACTTTTGTTTATATTTTACCTTTGTGTGAAATCATGAAAATCTATTTAGAGGGGAGACAAGTAGACATAAGCCATATTCCTACATAAATATATACTAAATTCAGTTTTAAAATGAGTGCTTTTATTTGGTGAATGTTTTGACATCTGGATATAGACAAGCTTTCAAGTCAAAATATGGTCCTGTAGGCTTCATATCACTTAAATGCACAGACTGGTGACGAGTGCAGTGAGATACTTTAACACTTCAGCTAAGATGAAACCTCCCGAAGAACATACTGCCTTCACACTAGTGCCAGAATGGTTAATGCTAGTTTTCTTTAGCAACATGAAGGTAAGATTGTGATTTTTTTTTTCAACCCGCCACTGGAACTGAGCCTAATTGAGCATTTTTTAAAATTAGTTTGCAGGTCGAAGTAAGAAGGAAACCAAATACTCTCTTAAGGCAGTTGAAGACATGTTGGAAACATTGCAGATCACCCAGTCTTAAAGCTTCAGAAACTTTGACATAGATGTCACAACTGCACAGTTGAACTTGCCTGCCTGTAACTTACTAAATGCTCAGAACTATTTCTACTCTAACTTGTGTGAAGATGGAAGTTGTAAAGAATGTGTTTACGTCAACTGAAAATGCCTTTTACTGCTAAGCAAGAAGATGGGGGAAGCCGAGGAAGAACGATGTAAGATCTACGATTGTGCTCCGATCTCTTTGTACCACTTGTCCTACATAACTGCTCTCAACCACAGTCCTGTGTAGAAATGACCTTGTTAAATAAACCACTGATTTATCAGACTTGCATATGGAGATTTGAGATTTGAAAGAACTATTTCTACTCTAACTTGTGTGAAGATGGAAGTTGTAAAGAATGTGTTTACGTCAACTGAAAATGCCTTTTACTGCTAAGCAAGAAGATGGGGGAAGCCGAGGAAGAACGATGTAAGATCTACGATTGTGCTCCGATCTCTTTGTACCACTTGTCCTACATAACTGCTCTCAACCACAGTCCTGTGTAGAAATGACCTTGTTAAATAAACCACTGATTTATCAGACTTGCATATGGAGATTTGAGCTTCCTTTTTGTTATAACCAGCACCTTGTTTTTGAGCTCAGTTTCCAGTTAATACTTTCTCCCTGAGGTTGGAGCACATAGCACAAGTAACTTGCAGAAACAAATATCTTGACTTTGCTTATAGTGTCAGGTTGGGTTTTTCTGTGCATCCCTGTGGACTATTTTGATTGTTTTATCTGCTGTATTGTTCTGATAAATGTTCCTAGAAATGGGTCACCACTCTCCAAGATTCAGCAGTCTCTGAGGAATTTTTGTTCTGATGTAGAAGTTTTTGCTGATAAAATGCCTTATGATTAATATATGCTGTAACTCTTAAATTTACCCTTTCCACAAGTTATATTTATTGAAATTTAGCTATAAAGTACATAAACAGTATTCAAGAATAGGAGTGTTTGCAGGCTGGGGATTTGGCTCAGTGGTTCCGCCACATGCCTTGCAAGTGCAAAGACCCAAGTTCCATCCCTGGTACCAAAAAAAAAATGGAAATGGTGCCGGGATTTAGCTCAGTGGTTCTACTGCCTGCCTCACAAGTACAAGGTCCCTAGTTCGATCCCCCGGTACCAGCAAAACAACAGAATGGGAGTAGTGTTGAATTCTCTTTAGTTTTAGAAAAACTGAGAAAATGTGAACTATTTTTAGAAACAAAATAATTAAAATTCTCAACATCCCTTTATCTTCTTAGTTATAAAATACAATTTCTTACTCTCCTTAATCAAGCTATACTACCAACAGTATTTTGCATTTTTCCGTAAGCTAGAAAGACTCTGAAAGTTAAACACTTTACTTAGGCACATCAGTTTTTGAAATATGTACTTGTTCACTGAGGACAGGTATTAATCTTACATTTGAATTTAACTTTATTTGTTCATAATAACAATACACAGAGGCTTCTGCAGATTGTTGTGGCTGGATTTGGGCGAGTGAGGACTGAAGAAACAAAATCCTGGAAGTCTTGAGGAAAAAAGCTGTTGTTGGTGTGAGTGTAACTGAACAATTCTTAGCATTAGTATTCTCTCCATGGCAGTCTGATGCTCCTGATCTCATCCTGCTGCGAGTACTGAGTAGCTGCTGAGCACCTTCATGTGTCTCTGCCGCGTGAGGGTGGTTGTTAAGTTTCCACAGCTTCCCTCTACACAGAAAGCTGCAGCCTCTGTTTAGCACCAGCAGCCTTTTCACACATAGGGTCACTGTAAGGGTGTCTGGTACAGCCTGTCCCCTGCCTGTCCCCTGCCTGACCTCCTCCCAGTGTCCTGAGATCTGTACTTGTGCTAATACCTAACTTACCACCTTATATTGCTCTGGGCCTTGTTTTCGCTTCATTTTTCTGATAAAAGAAATAGTATTTTACATAACTTCTCTATAATCTTGTACTTTTGGTACGTTGTCTATGGTAATAATTATAAACTTCAGCTCTCGTAGATAACCCCATGTGACAGAGAATGCCTGCATGACTGCTGTTACCTGTTTCTTTGGAAACAGTACCCTAAATTTATTCAGAGAGTGGGCAGATCCCCTATCCTCAGAGAGGTTAGGATGTTGCCCCATCCCGAGGATGCATCTTACATTTATGTGAATGAAAGTGGAGGATCCACCTCAGTACAGTTAAGAGTTGAGAGCGTACCTTTGCAGTCAGGGAAGCTGTGTCTGTGGGTCCGGTACGGTGGCTGCTCGCCACGCGTGAGGGAAGCTGTGTGTGGGTCCTGTGGTGGCTGCTGTCCTTGTGTGGTGACTGAGCACTGGAGACACTTCTGCACTTATAGTGGGAGATTGAATTATTAATTTTTAAATTCCAGTTACCATAGATGAGTATGGCTGTACTGTGGACTCCATCGGTCTGAGCTGTGGGTTGTGACACAGGTTCAGCCGTGACTTGGCACCTGCTGGGGAGGCGTGTGGCCTCTGTGCCACCTTGAAGCCTGATGAGGTAACACCTTTGCTACTTTTTCCTGGCTGTAAGTGCCAACACGATGCTGAGGGAGGTCACAGCCATTTCACAGCTAGGAAACAACGGGTGTGAGAGTTCCGTTCAGAGGCGGAGCTGAAGCTGAGGCGGAGCCCGGCTCCCATCAGTCACGGGGCACCTCTGTGCCTACACCCTGGGGAAGGTCAGCAGCTGTTGGTGATGTTCTTTAGCTGCTACACTTGCAGTTCTGGTTTTTAACTCTTCATGTTTTGACTGATGTGTGCACCACTCTGCGTTTCTTTTAAGCAGGTAAAACTTACACAGGAAAGCTCTTCCAGCATATAAGATCTACAGCGAGCATATAGTTACATACAACAAAGGAAATAGTGCTGTACTTCATCCTCTACTGTTCTGAGCCCACAGGGGTGAGAAAGTCCTACTTACATAGCTTTCATCATGAGAACACTGTGTTTTGATTTAGGGGCTCGGAGGAAATGGAAAAAAGGAATTGGAGACCAGTCTCATTGTGCTAAGGTGTGCGATTCAACTTTTAATGGCAAATATTTCACAGAGCCTTCCGGACCACATCGCACTCACTCCCGAAATGACCCAGGGTTTGAGAGGTGGCTCTGGTTGATGGCCAGGTGTCTCTGTGTCGAGAAGCCGAGGTCGGAGCCAGCAGCAAGAGGCAGGGCTCTTGTGTGCCCCTCTCAGGGTGACAATGAATAAAAGCTGGAAGCACCCAAGGGTCATGGTTTGCTAAGAGTCGGGATTAGAGTAGGGATTAGATTGTGCTGGCTTGGATGTTTGTTTTTTGGGTTTTTTTGGTCCTGGAGATCAAACTCAGGACTTTTTGCTTGCAAGGCAGGTAGTGGCACTACTCAGCTAAATCCCCAGTCCCTAGAATATGCTGACTTGGAAAACAGTTTTTAAGTAATAATTAAAAATTTTAACTTGAATTTAGCTATATAAAATGTTAATGTATTAAAGTTAATACGAGAACTGTCAGAATACCTAAGGCTGTTTTCATCTTGACTTTAAAAGTGCTTTTTGGGCGCTGAACTGTTCCCCAAAAAGGTCATATTCATTCATTCCATCCACAAACATGCTTTTATTATCTTTATATAGAACAAAGCCTTCCTTTTATTTTTAGTATTATTGCCATCATTATCATTATTAGTAGTAGTAGTACTGGGGATTGAATCAAGGGTCTTTGCTCTGAGCTACACTCAGGCCACCACCATTTTTTTTTTTTTTTTTTTTTTACTTTTTATTTTGAGACCAGGTCTTGCCAAGTCATTCAGTTTCCCGGTCTGGGCTCAATGATCCTCCTGCCTCAGTCTCCCAGAGTGTGGGATTACAGGCCTGCCCCACCACATCCAGCTTGAACAAAGCCTTTTTGGATTGGTTCCACAGGATTGTGATCAGGCCTTTCTGCCATGCACTTCTTTTTCCTTATATTTTTCATGTTTAATTTTGAAATACTTTTAAGCCCTACAAGAATTTGCAAAAATACATTACAGAAATTCTCCTATTATATAGCTTCTCCCTGTTATAGCTAAACACAGTACCTTGTCAAACCAGGACACTGATGTTGCAACAATTCTTTAGCTCAGATACAAGCCTTACTCAATTTTTACAGTTCTGCATGCTTTTTTCTCATTTGTAAAATGTTCTCATGTCATATCGCTGTCATCACGATCAGGACAGAGAGCTCACTGCTGCAGATACATTCCCTTTGGTGTATCTGTTTCAGCAGTTTGTTCCTTTTTATTGCTAAATACTAATCTGTTTTATGAATGTACTGCAATTTGGTGATCTCTTCACTGTGAAAGGACATTTGAATTATTTCCAAGTTTTGTCTATTACAAATAAAGCCCCTTATGAGGACTTCACTTAGTGAGTCTTTGAGGTTTTTATTTTTCTAGAATAAAAGCCTGAATTATGATTGCTGGCTTGCGTGGTAAATGCATGTGTAACTTCATTGGAAACTGCCAGACATTCAAAGAATACATAGATGACACCAGTTTACACTCTCTCCTCCCAAAAGTGCAGGAGAGAGGAACCCTTCCCAACTCATTAGATGGAGGCAGCATTACTTTGGTACCAAAAAAAGAAAACGAGAAAAGAACTAGAAACCAGTGCTTTCATGAGCACAGACACAATATGTTAGTGATTGGGTATGTGAAGACCCACCACACCATGTGTGCTACAGAAGTGCAAGTGTCACACAGCATGTAAGGTGAGTGCGTCCCATTGTATTTAGAAGAAAGTAGGAGAAAACATGATACACAGAAGGTATTTGACAAAATTAAGGATTAAATACCAACAAACTTCCTGAACTTCTGAACTTGATGAGTAGCATGAACACAAGTCAGTGATGAAAGACTGAATATATTCTCCCTGAAATTGGGAACAGAGTGGGGGATGAACTCACTATTTGTTCATCATGGCAATTCACATTTTAACCAGTGTAGTGGTTAAGAAAAGGTGACTTAAGAAAAAGAAACAGAATATATTGGAAAGGAAAGAAACTGCATCTATTTGTAGGTAACATGATTGTCTACATAGAACATCCCAAGAAATCTCCCAAGAGTGTACTGAAGCTACAAGATGGGTTTAGTGAGATCATAGAATAAGGGTAAACAAATCATATCCATATCTACAACATCTTAAAATCACTCAGGTAAGTGTAGCAAAACAAGATCTATTTGCTGAGAACTACAAGTGCTAATAAAAAAAAAAAATGAGCAGAGGAGCAGAGCTTTTTTATTGATTGGAAGGTTCAACATGTGAAAGATGTCAGTTGCTCCCAACTCG